AGAAAAAAGAAGAAGAAATTAAATCGAAACCGTTGTTCTCTCGCTTTTAAGAAGTGCGAAACGAAAAACGGCCAAATCGAATGATGAAGAGCTTGTAAAACTGTGCGTGACGATAGTGTTTTGTCCATCTTAGGATCCTGAGACGTTTATTTTCCGAACTTTTATGATCGTGCACAGTCATAGGCGTCGGGATCGATGCCGTACACGTCTCACAATAATATATTTCCAATTGTAATTCGTTAAACAAGTGATTGAAGAATTGAATCGAGGCAAAATAGAAAAACAAATACAAAAGTAAAAATTTATTATAAGAATTTTCGTTGAAAAAAGAAATTGAGTTTAAAACGTATAAAATTATTTTTAAATTAAGAAAATTTGTTGTATATTTTATTATTAGAAAAAAAAAAAAAGAAAAGAGAAAACTAATATTTTCGGAAGAGAAAAAATTATTCTCACAAGTTTTTCATCTATTTTCTTTTACCACAGAATCAAAAATTCGATACGATAAATCATCGTGTAGATCAATTAACGAGATAAATTAGAAGCGATATTGTTTTATTAATCGTGCTGAAATTAATTGTTGAACTGCGTTCCATTAATCGCAAAATTTTGCTATTATTAGGATTAATCGTTGAACGCGTTATTAAAGCTGAATTTTATATGAGAAAAAGTATATATATATACATAAATGTATAACCTAATTCTTTTATCGTTCTTTGGAAAAATGGCGGATTCATAATTTTCATTCGATGCATTCATAATTTCAATCGATTTACACGCGATTTCTTATGAATTTCTATTTATCCGTAATTCCTTCTTTCGAGAATCGTCGAAATCTCGATTAAGGGGACGAATATGTTTTACGTTTTTCTTTTTCTAAACAAAGATTTTTTACCAAACGTGAAATCTCAACCCGGTGAGAGACGAGATCGAAAGCTTCGGAAATTATACGTGCATTATTGTATGTATACGTTGTATACGCGTATTACGATATACTGGTTAACCTAATTATAATTGTTGTCACGATGGTAATAGATTCTAATTAATCAAGGTATATATTTTTCTCTCGGTGCCGATGCACGGCCTCTAACAGGTGCACACCTTGCCCTTTCATCTGTTTTTTTATAGATCGAGCAATAAACTTATTGTTTTAACAGAATTATTGTTTCTTGTGATTCGTTTCCAATCCAGATATTAAAAAGATAAGATTTATTTGATACGCATATGATGAGTAACGTGAATTTCAGTGAAGTTACGTAAATCATGAATGTTTATTCTGATTGAATAAATAATAATTTTAGATTGGTAAATTAATATTTATAGAACTAGTAATATTCAAAGTAAAAAGGAAATTGTCTATTAAAGAATGTCATCATTGAAATTATTTAAAAATAATAAAAAAATGGAAAATTTTTAATGGTTATGATGATACAATATAAGAGACATTTTGCTGGCTCATGAAAAGATACGGAAGAAGAGTAAAGTTATCTTATCGCTGGCGTTATTTATATCAGTGAAGTAAAAATTCAAATTTAAAAAATTTACTTTAAACTTATTGTAAAAAGTTTTTGATAAGATATTTCATAAAAAATTTAATTGAAAAATTTTTATTGAATTTGTAAAAAAAAATTATAAAAATATTGTATGCACAAGACTAACTTATTTCTTTGTTAAAAAATTTTCGTTCGTAAGAAAATAAATACTGTTAATAGACTGTTTAATTCATAATTCTTTAATTCGATATATTTGTTTAATTTTTAACTTATATTTTTTCGTCTTTTAATTCTATTTTCTTAATTTAAAAAAAAAATTATTTTTAATTTCTTCGAATTCGAAAGTAGTTTCTTTTGATAATTTTTTTCAAAATTCTCTTCCAAAAAATCGAAAAACGATACTTGTAAAACTTGAAATTATTTATATATTAAAATAACATAATACGAAATATTCTTTATTAAAACTCAATTATTATATTTTCATATTTATATTATAATAAATTACAGGAATGAAATTATGAATATATATTTAATATGTGTATCATATATTCTTTATAATATTTATTAACCACATACTTTTTTAATACAAGTCTAAATAATCTCTAATTTAATAAAAAACTTTTAATTAAAATGTAATTTAATTAATTAAAATCTATCAACTACATTTAATTTTTGAAGTTTTTAAAATTCACAAATATATGAAAACTTGCTATAGAAAAGTTAAATATAATATATATATTATACAAAACTTTAATAGACTTTAATTAACTTTAATATCATATCATTATCATCATAAATAAAAGCTCAATTATCAAGATTATATATAATATATATAATTATATTTAATTATAATTAATTATAATTATATATAATTTTATATAATATATAAAATTTGAATCAAATTTAAAATTATTATAATAAGATATAATATATTTATTATATATTTCATAGACGTCATAAAATACTTAAAAAAATAGATAAAAAATTATAATTAATGCTAAAGATCTATTATATAAAATTTTATTAATTTCAATAATAAAATTTGAATAATGAAATACAATTATATTAAAATAACATCATAACATTCATTATTAATACAACTTTGATTAAATTATTTAAATACTTTCGTAACTTTCGCAAAATATTTATATTAATAATAAACATTTTACAACTTACATATACATATATATATTTTCACATTTATTTCAAACTTTACCCACATTTAATCTCGCATATAATGCTAATAATACTTCATAAAGTTTAGCATGACGCTATTCATAAAATTTTTCTATAAAAAGTATATTCGTAAATACTTTCGTAAGTACTTATACGCAACATCTTCAAAATAAAAGTATAACACAATATAAATAAAAAAGATTCTTCTTTTCCATAAATAGGGTGCGCCCTCTATCCGCCCTCCATAAATCTGCAATTTCCACCGTCTATTCGTCTCATCAGCTAGATCCACGGATTATCGATCGAGAAGAGAGCATAACATAAAACTGCATCGGGCAGCATCAATTTTTCAACAGCGCGCGGCCTACCAATGCTACGGAGAAAAAGAGAAAGAGAGAGAAAGACAGAGAGAACATATACGCCTCCTCTCCCTTCATTGATTCAGCCGCGTGCTGCTGTATGCCGCGTTACGTTCACGCACGCGGGCCTCTTCCGTCCGCCTCGCAAGGCGCCGAGCCAGTGAACACTGTAACGTT